TAGGTCTTAGTACTTACAGACTTTTTTTAGTCTAGTTTTGATTGATAGAATAATATTTTATTGGACACCACACAAAACAGACACAAAAAGCAATTAGGGACTGGAATTAGCTGCCTGCTGCTGTCTTTCCCGAAGATTATAATCCGGGCCTTTTCAAGGCGAGAGTGAATAGGCACTTACAGGGCAGATATGTACCTACCATCCTAGACTGCATCCCACTTAACATCAGGTGCGATTGTGGTCAAATACCTGCCTTGTTATGCATAAAAAAACTGCAAAATTTAAGCGGTCTTGTTGCTAAAAAGCAATCTCTTCCAGACAACTCAGGGAGGACCACAGTAAATTATTTTAATATTCAAGAAACCAATGGTTTATTTACATTCTCCGAAAAGATGAACGAAAGGAAAAAAAGCTGTAACATACTTTGAGTTGGTATTACAAAAAAACAGAAAATACTTTGGAGTTAACTGGAGGTAACCTATTCCATGGTATAAACATGGAAGGGGCAACCCTAAAGAAAAAACAAACAAAGATATTATAGCCACAAGTGGCCATAAGAAAATGAATTTCTCTTTAATCCTTCTTAGATGTTGCAATTTATGAAAAAAATATTTACTGCCACTATGACATCATTCAATGACGTTGTCAATTTGACCAAACTTTGTGACTCTTTTGGAACTTTGTGATTTGTGACTATTTTAGATTTAGACGTTTTTTAACAGGACTTTACTATGACATACTGGTAAGTTTCCAAAGCATTTCGTCCAGCAGTGAACCTTTATTGCAAATATTTCGTTCCTTCTTTTATGGGGCGAAGAAATACACCACGCTCCAGAAGAAAAAGTCCAACTCTGTTACAATCCACACGATAGAAGAAACCTTCAAGATCTACGTTGTAAAAGAAGATACAATACTAATATTGCACGATATTAATTAAATACTAGCTTAGCTAGGTTCGCCGGTGTAAATATAATTATGTAGGTCTGTTACAGAAACTCTTAACCGTCCCCCTTTCAAAAATCTGTATAAAAACTAGCGTACTATGATGTTCTTCTTTACACCTAAACCTTCCATAAGAATCTATTGGTGAAAACCGCATGAAAATCCGTCCAGTAGTTTGTGAGTTTAATGCGAAAAGAGACAGAGTACTTAAACCTTCCTCTTGGATCACTCTATCTATTGCAAAGAACTTCATTGAAATCCGTTCTTCTTCTATTTTTCCTGAAAAATAAAAGAACTGGATTGGCCACACTCTCCGAAGGGGCCCCGATCACATCCCTAAGCAGGCTCTGGATTGGAACCCCCAAGGAAACGCAAACGTGGTCGCCCCAAGCAAACTTGGCGGCGCACTGTAGCAGACGAGGCTTGGAAAATTTCAAGACTTGGAGGGAGATCAAACGCGAAGCTCAAGACCGAACGCGATGGAGGACTGTTGTGGACGCCCTCTGCCCCATCTAGGGGACACAGGACCTTAAGTCAAGTCCTTTTTACCATTATTTGGGGCCGGCTCTCCTTGTTCTTAGGCGCCAGGACGGTCTGCCCTGCATTGAAATCCGTTGCTTAGTTAAAAGATATAACCGCACAGACAGCAAGAGCGACTTTATTTCGTACTATGTTAAGAACCAACCGCAGGCCGCTACCAACCGGGCAGCATGGAAAGCATTGGGGGAGGCCTATGTTCAGCAGTGGACGTCCTATGGCTGAGATGATGATGATGTTAAGAACATTACAATAAGTCAATATTCCTTTATTTCCAGCTGTTCACAATGCAACTTCACCGCCCAGTTCGAGAGTGCCCTGAGGATGCATCATCAATTGCACCACGAACCGGCCACTCTGAATGGATACCCTGACTCTAAACCTAAGCTTTTGACTGTAAGCCATACATATTTCTTTTAAATGGACATTATTTTTCCCGTGGATGTTGTAAAGGACAAAATATGCGAACATCAAGCCTCCCCTACCTCTATGGTCCTTATGCATTTCGCTTTTTCCGTCGATGTAATGTTCGTAAAGGCGATTAAGGGACCAATATGCGAACATAAAGGCCTCCCCAACCCCCAAGATAATTGCTAAAAAACGCTGCTTCAGGAATACCTATATGTTTCAGGAAAAATCAAACACGGTGCCTCGCGCAGCAGCATTGGACGCCTCGTTCTCAAGCACCAAAGAAAGCAAAGGTTTCAAGTGTAAGCATAAAAGAAATTATCTTTTTAGCAAAGGCAGCGTCACCTTCAAGGTGGACAGATGACTATTGCTATTTGCTATCAACCGGTCAATCAACAAATCGTTGGAGATGATGAAAAGCGGTCTAATGGGTTGTGAAGTTGTGATAACAAACAATGGTTTTTCGCGCCCTGGCTGCTTGGCCGTCGTACGCCATGCCAAGGCTCTTATTTACGTCATTTTACCTAATTGAAGTTCAGTTTTTTGGCCACAACATTCCTTCATTTAACAATAAAAACCTTTAAGGATCTGGATTTCCTGAAGATCTAAAGTTTCTGGAACTCTTATATGTACAATGATTTATTTTTATAACTTTCAGTGGCGTCACGAACGTCGTCAGCGACCCGGCTGTTGGACAAGCTGCGCTCGCGCATCACGCGTAGCAGAAGCAGGATCCTCTTCTCACACCCTGAGGAGAGCAGCGAGAACAACCTGAATACTAATGTTAGTAAAGGATTTTTATGTGCTTACACTTGTGCTTTATCCCTGACGTACGCTGATTGTTATTTTATTCATTTGTCTGTCCTCCTATGTCAGACTTTTCCTCATAAATCACATCTATTAGCTAAAACTGCATGAAAATCCGTTCAATTGCTTTGAATATCGCAAATAGAGTCGACGGAAGCCTATATTTTAATTTGTGTGACCAACTGTCCCTACGTCAAAATATCCCTATAAAAACGTTTAGTTTTTCCGCTTCCAAAAATCTTTTAGCAATCTTTCCTCTTGGCAAGAATATTGCAGTACAAAAAATATTTTATTTATATTTCCCAACAGGATCATTCAATATCCAGCGACTGTACATCCAAAGCTTTGGAGTCTTCAATGTCTAAGAGCAGTGCCATCACCACACCCCTTGCAGAGAGCAAGGAAACCTATGGATGCCATCTGTGTTCTTTTGATGCTGACCGGTAATTTTTCTGTTACATGTACCCAGGTCAATTACAACATTGTTAGTTTCTATCGATTGATGCCCACTGCTGGACAAAGGCCTCTCCCAAGGATTTCCATAACGGCCGGTCCTGCACTGCCCGCATCCAGGTGCTATATGCGATCTTTAGCGATCATCAGTCTACCTAGTGGGAGGCCTGCCTTCACTACATTTTTTCGCCCGTGGTCGCCACTCGAGAACTCTTCTGCCCCATCTAGGTTTACTAAAGAGATACGTGATAAATATTAAATACCTAATTTCAGCATCACAGTCTTGGACAGGCATCTCCTAAACGACCACAAGATCGGCCTCGACAACCTCCTTAAGTTAGTCCTAGCTAAAACCAAAGACGGCCTATCCGAGGAATGCCCGAACCAATCACTATACGGAATCCGACAACCATACTACAAGGCTACAGACGAAATCATCGAAGAAGGCGAATTTGTCATAGAAACAGTATCTCCCAAGATCCGAATACTGAAACATACGTCAACCAACACAGATATACAGTGGAATGACATACCAGATTTGAAAGACAATTGTAGGATGATAACTAAAGAATTGGAGAAGTTAATGAAGTATCCAGTGGAAAAATGTGATAAGGATGAGTTGCTAGCTAAGATGCAGACGTTGAATGAGTGTATGGGGAAGTTTGTGGATTCTACGAATACGATCAAAAGGGTGTTGACGAAAGAATATGATTCGAAGACCAGCGTCAGAGATAGGCTGAGCACCGCTGAGCCGTTCTTCGATTTGGGGCTGGGAGAGTAAGTATGAATAATTTTAAGGTGATTTCTACCCAACGTAGCAGAGACAACACATAGCGTGTTGTTGGGAGGATTTGCTATGGGATGTTTTTTCCTAAGAGAGCTAAATGTACACTTTATTGATTTTTTTGAATAATCAATCATTTACAAAGAGAGATAGCGAATCAAGTTCGCTATTAGGCTAAAAAACGGAAGGAATTCGATATTCCTCCCATATTATTCCTAATTTCTTACTTATTAAATTCGTTGAGGGTTCCAAGTCAAAGACAGTCGGCTATCCTTCAGGACTACAACATAGAGAGTAACCTTCAATGCTAAGGATTCTTTGAAGGCTAAACTGTAGATCTGTTTGACTAGAAGTTGCAGTTGGTGGGGGGAATGATTTAGAGGTCCCGTATAGGGAAAAATATATTTTATCTATTGTAAAACAAATTGCTTTTACAGCCAAGACACTCCACGAGACTGGGAGAAGGCTCACAGTGAAAAAATGGAGAGGAGTCGGAATAAATACGGAGATGCAAGCAGGTAAAGATTTATATGAATCATTTGCTAACGGCACATCGAGCTAAATACTGAGTAATCTTATGTTGTTGTAATAGATGCTATTTAGCAACAAAAATGTAAATTATGATGTGCAGTCGACTGCACAAACACTTGTTTTCTTCGGGCACTGTCTTTTACCCTTGTGCCATCCATACAAACCGCGATAACCCGAATATTCGCGATGTGTGTAGCCAAGTACTTATTCGCGTTTACTTTGGTGTTTTTTTAATTTAGTCACCACAAGTAGTAGTTTATGATAGGTTTTTCTGCTTATATTTTGAAATTATACTGGTCCTTCAAGCCGGATCTTTAATTATGTTTTTGTTTCAGGAGCAGCAAACCAAAATTTTCTTCAGAGAGCTTTTATTTTTGACTCGAAATAATTGTTTTTATAATAAGACATTCGTTAGGTATTTAGAAATTGTATTTTTTGTTACTAATAAATGTGTATAAATTGGAAAAGTTAGTTTTTATCAAGTCAGATATAATAGGAATAAAACTTTATTTAAAAAATAAATATTCAAAAAATACAATTAAAAATGCTCACAATGATTGCATCCTCCATTTGCATTTCCTTGTTTTTCTTCGGAAGGGTTTCTATAATGTTCACATATTAGTGCCCCTGCCTCAACTTTGCTATGATTCTGATAATGGCAACACAGCATATAAACACATTTCTCGCATTTCCCTTCCTGCAGCATTTTATGATAGCAACATTCGTGTTTGAAAATGGAATCTCCTGCCGACAGCTGCAAATCATTAGTCTGGCAACACTTGCAAATTGCTGTATCAACTGGTTTATTTTCCAACTCACTATCAGAGTTTTCTTTTGTGTTTTCTTGATAAGTGTTAGTTTTTACAACTGGCAATACCCTAGGTCCGTTTCTAATCAGAGGTCGATTAGGGTCATCTAGATTTTTTGACATTTGATGTCGTCGTACAGTCGCGAACATTCTGTTCACTTCTTCGATGGCGTCTTTCGATTTCGTCTTCTCTTTCAAAGAATACTTCAATTCTTCCACTTTCATTTGAGGAATCGATGAAGATTTGTGTTTTATTAAGTCTATTGAAAAGTGAGAAGATTTCGCGTTAGTAGGTTGAGAATAATTTACTATTTTGAAATTATTCCCATTGTTGTTGCTAGTTTCATCGATTGAGAGTTGGAATATTCTGCTCATTGTGAGCTTTGGCTTAAGGTCGATTTTCGATTGACTCTCAGTAGCTACTGATACATCTTTCATTACAACTGTTTTACTGTTATTACTTTTGATATCAAGCTTTTTACTCTGAAAGACTGTTAGGACCTCTTTTAGTAAACTGAGATCTTGGGTCAGGTCAGTTTGAGACGTTTGAACAATTTTTGTGCTCAGAATCTTTGTTTTCATATTCCTTTCATTAATCTCATTTCTTTTATCACTATGTTTATTATCAGCGTTTGATTTGTCTTTTAGATTAGTACTCAGACTGCATTCTTTGCTATGATCATAAGTGTGAATCACTGTATCTTTTTTATCCACTTTGGTGTGATCACAACTTCTTTTATTAATGTTATCGTACTTTTTACGACATATAGGACAAGGTCTTGCTATTTTCCCATGATCTTCGTTACAATTGTGTGTATTATTTGAATTTAAACACATGGCACAAATAAATCTTCTATTGGCAGCGTTTATGAGACTATGTTTGCATTTCTCTTTGTCCATTTTGGTTTTGGACTTTGTATCTTCGTTTTGGAAAGTGGTTATGTGAATCTTTACTTTTTTGTAGTTGACGCTTGATATCATAAGAGTTGTGTGAATGTCTGTAAAGAATTTATTTTATTAGTTTGTTGACAACTATTATCTTCGGTTCTTGTTCAATCAGAAAAGTTATCGAGTTTAAAATATACTTTAAAATGTAGCCGAGAACTTCGTTCACATTGTCATGATTCTTTTTTATTGAGTTACCAAAAAAAAGTTATTGAGTGGCGACCACGAGCCGGAAGACGTAGCGTGGGCAGGTCTCCCACTAGGTGGACCGACGATCTGGTGAAGGTCGCAGGAGGTGCCTGGATGCGAGCGGCGCAGACCGGTCTTTGTGGAAATCCTTGGGGGAGGCCTTTGTCCAGCAGTGGACGTCTTTCGGCTGAAACGAACGAACCAAGAAAAAAATACTTACCAATAAAATGACCATGGGATCACACATTTACATTAAATAGGATTAGTTAAATTGTACATTTATAGAAAATTATCAAGTTGTAAAGTAAAAAATAACTGCGTAGATAATCCAAGATAATCTAAAAAATATACACATAAAACATGCATAAAACGTGTCATCGAAAATATTGATATATTTGACAGTGTTGTCAAATTCTATTAAAAAAATATTCGAAAGAAAGGTTAAAAATATTTATTTTAGAGGTTAATAAAACAGTTTTAATTTCAAAGTAAAGTAAAGAGTAAGCATTATTTTGGAATATTCAACAATCAAAATTAACAATTTCCTTGAAAGATTGATTTTGTAATAAGTCTCAATAAAAACTCTGTTCTTGAAATACAAAACCTGGCAGAAGAACCACAACAACACTTGACAGTTAGATTAACATCTGTCAACTTTATAACGACAAAAATTTTCCGTAAAAATATTTGTAAACAAATGTGAAAAGTTTATAAAAATTGCGCTAGTCGTATTGGACAAAGGTATGACTTGATCCCAAATTCTAGTTCTTTGCCACCACATTATTATATTACAAGCTTTGCTTGGGCTTAGGCCTCCCACTAGGTGGACCGACGGTCTGGTGAAGGTTACGGGAAGAACCTGGATGCGGGCAGCGTAGGATCGGTCGTTATAGAAATCCTTGGGGGAGGCCTTTGTCCAGCAGTGGACGTCATTTGGCTTAAACGAACGAACGTACGAAGCTTTACTTAGTTTGAGTGGCATTTGGGTCTTGGGGCAGGTAACTATTGTGATTTATTCATTTTTTTGCAGAATCAATCCAAGACACTCATATTCCTATAAATTTTGAACTTCTAAAGTCACCAGTGAGACAAAGATGCAAAAATCCATTGATATAATGATAAAATAAGAAATGAAAGAGAGCAAAGGAGTTTATGTAACTAAGCACAATATAAAAGAGGACCAGTTGAACAGAAATTACCAATTGTATACCAGTAAAATCACAAGAGATTATAGATACCAAACTAGTACTAGAGACGCTGGTGTCCAGTATAATTATAGAAGGGACAATGTCATATGCACATGCAGGAATATATCTGGCTTGAGAAGGCATCAAGAAGTGCGGTACTTTAGTGGACTTCCAAAACAGATATACGCGTACCATGGTTCAAGGAGTTTTACAGATATAGGAGTGGGAAGTGTGAAAGCTTTTCAGAGGAAGAAAGTGAAGAGGATTTACTTGCCTGAGACCGACGATCGGGGGGTAGGAAGCTCTGATTTGTCATCGTTTATCAGTCGTAAGTTATCTAAAACTATTTCTAACAAAGACATTCTGTTTATAAGGTCACCTCCTCTCTAACTCTTGCTAAATTAAATTAAGTCTAATATTTTTCATTCCTTTTCATTTTCTCGTTCAAGGAAGAACCAGGTACTACCGAAGTAGTTTCTACGATCACAAAAAAACATCATCGAAATGCGTGGGAGGTGTAATCGAAGGCAACACTGATGTCCTCAACGAGAAACTATCGCCGATAGTACACACCAAATCTGGCACAACTAGTCCTAGCATACCTTCGGTGGAAGAGAAGAAAAATGTTGAGATCGGCAGTAATACCCACGAAAAGAGCTTCGTGACAACGTCAACTCAGATACAAGATGGGGATGTCCAGAAAGAAGAAGACATTAAAGAAGTAATTGAAGTCATTGTAGAACAAAACCAAACAAAAGACATTTCTAGAAAAAGCACTAAAGAGAAAAAATCGAAAGAAGGAATCGCGACTTCAACTGAAGAACCACATGCGAAGCGCATAAGCAAAAGGGCACAGGAAGCCGAAAGGGTCTTTTCTTCAGATTCTCTTGTCCAACACGTTCATGATTTGGAACACCCGAGCGAGGATAAGCAAGCAAGTCCTATGTTCATAGATCCTATGGAAAACAAACTTGAACGTGAATACAGAAAAATGTTTAGCACGAAATCTAAAGAATCAAAAGAACAAAAGCCTAGTACAGAAGAAAAACCTGAAGCGGAAATGAAAAGCACTTCTGTATTGCGACGTCGTTTCGAAGCACTGAGAAGGGGACTTGCCAAGAAGGAGGATTCGAAGAAAAATGCAGTTTTGGCTAATAAAGATTCCAGTAACGTTAGCGCACCCAGTCACAGAGATGTTTCTATTGCCTCCGATCCTCCGTCATTAGAAGCAAGGTCTTATTCTAATACCAAAGTTTACAGCCCGTTTCAAAATGCAGATCAAGACAAGGCGTCAACTTCCAAAATGTATAAGAAGTCTTTTATAGGAAGGAAAGATTGGACAAGACCTGAGGATTATGATAGCGAATGCCAAGGTGTAAAAGGCATGTTCAAACTGTGGGGAAAGAAATTCAATTTAGACGACGAAGATTCTTCCCCCGGACCTTCTATGGATGTGTCGAAAAAACCGAAAGACAAAATTCCAGCAACCGAAAGCGAGAGTAAGAAGGAAGGGAAAAAGTTTTTCTTCTTCAAGAAGAAAAGCAAAGATAAAACTAAGCAACCTTACAAGCAGAAGAAAGGTGTAACAGCTGGTCGTTGCGAAGTCGGCGATGGACTGATGATCAAAATTGGAGCAGCAAATAGTCCACCGGCTGAGAAAGAGAGAAAAAAAGAAATAAAGCAGATTCCTGAAAACTACGAAGAGATGCTGCGGAAAGCCTGGCTTCAACAATTCCTAGCGCAAACCATAGATTCAAGACCGAGCGTCAAGATAAGATGGAACAACAGTGCTTACGCTACTAGCAGTAGCACCGTATTTGAAATCATGGAAAACGTTTACAAAGATACCGGAGTTGTTTTCAGATCGAAAAGTGAAGTAACCACAGGTGAATCGTCATATTACAAATCTTTCACGAAACAGCATGTCAATTTTGTCCAAGATATAGAAGCGTGGATGATACCAAAATTTATTCCAGATAAAGCTACGCCAATCAGAATTGGTAAAGACGAGAAAGGAGATAAAAAAGACAACATCGAAGTAAGAATATCGGATCAGAAATGGTTCATAGACAAATCGAAGGCGTTTGCTCAAAAAATCGAAGTTGTCCTACATTCTAAAAACCTTGTTCCACATCAAAAAGATCCCAGTTCTGAGTATTTAAGGATAGACATTCCCAAAGGCTTCTTTACTGATTCTAGCAGCGATAGCACTGGTCCAATGCACACTAGTAACGAAGAAGTTTATAAAATCGTAGAATATGAGTCACCTGATGCATCTAACAATTTTCTTAGAAGAAACAGAAATATTGAAGTCGGAGATCATTTGAATAAAGACATCAAAGTAACAGTAAGTGTGAAGGATAGCAAAGAATTTGAATCGAATATTCTAGAAACTGTTATAAAGAGACCGCCAATTCACAGGGATGTGGTCATACAAGGCAGTAATGTGTATATTCCGAAAAGATGCAATGTTATTGGAGTTGGCATTATTACACAAAAAGATATCACGAGGATGAGAAAACCTATGTAAGTATATTATTTATTTCTAAAACTTAAAAAAAAAACTTAGTTGTGATGTGATGTTTCGTTTCCGTTTAAATCTTTAGGGATAGATTGTTGGCTATTAACTATATTGCTCTAAATTACAGATTAAAAATTCAAGACGACTATTCGGAGGAAGACTCGGATCACACAGTTAATCATACCCACAACAAAAGCAAATTTGCAGAGAGCTACCTTCAAGAATACTACCGTCATTGGACACCGTTGGGCATCGACTTCTTCTCGTGGTGCGTCAGCGATTCACATTTGCAATGCTGCTCAGAGAACTCGCACACGACTGTGAATAATCAAGGAGACGGGTCTAAGTCCTGCCCAAACATTTACGATGATTACCAAGCATCTACAGTCATCTCCTCGTGTGGAACATCCTGCTGCAGCCATTGTGGCCCATGGGAAGAAGAACCGAAGAGGGAAGACCTTATGACAAAATTCTTCAGCAAATTCCGATCGAAATGCAAATCAGAACCTCCAAACATCGGTTCTGCCAAAAGAATCCTTCCAAAAGATTCTTTGGAAGTTTTTAAACGGAGAAAAATTTACGCAGCGAGCAACAAATCTAACTGGGTATGCTCTGACGATAGACCGTACTCCATTCCGAGTATTGAAAGCAAAGGAGCTCAGGATACGTTGACAGACTGCCCAAAATTAAAGAAGACATGTTACAAACCACCAGAGTCGAAGCCAAAGAAGAAAGTTTGTAGAAAACACGTCTCGTTGCAAGATTGCGACACTATGAATGAATCTTTAGCAGAACAGTTAGCTGATAAATGTCCACCAGGGATATTGTCGTTCAAGGGTGCCTCGAAATGTGATGTTTGTAATAAAAAAGGCGGGGTGTGTCCGAAACACCCGAAAGTTATTCCAGCGCCAACATGTGCGATTCCACCGCCAAACCAGCCTTGTAAGGAGCCGCCGAAAAAGCCTCCGTGTCCTTCGCCGCCGATGTCACCATGCCCATCGCCACCTAAGTCACCTTGCCCATCACCGCCTAGGTCACCTTGCCCGTCACCACCTAAGCCCCGGTGCCCGACACCACCTAAGCCTCAATGCCCATCACCACCTATGTCACCATGTCCATCGCCTCCTCCAACGCCTCCCTGCGGCTCACCCAAGAGATCTGAAGTGCGTATCGCTTCACCCTGCGTTCCTAGTCCACCCTGCATGCCTAGTCCTCCATGCCCACCCAGAAAGCCAGCCAGATGCGGTTCACCATGCTCGCCGCCCATACCGCCCTGTAAACAGAAATCGCCACCGTGCACGCCGCATATGTCCAAACGAAAGCCTCCACCGTGTTCACCACCTCCCTGTCCAACTCCAAAAAGGAGGTCATGCCCTCCATCCCCACCTTGTCTAGCTCCGAAAAAGAGATCATGTCCCCCGTCTCCACCGACATGTCCGCCGTCACCTCCACCTTGTCCGCCGTCGCCTCCACCTTGTCCGACCCCGAAAAGAAGACCTTGCCCTTCCCCGCCCCCTTGTCAAACTCCAAAAAAGAAACCTTGTCCCCACTCGCCTCCTAGATGTCCTCCTTCACCACCTCCCTGCCCCACTCCGAAGAGGAAGCCTTGTCCTCACTCCCCACCAGTATGTCCACCTTCACCTCCCCCTTGCCCCTCTCCTCCAAAAAAGAAACCCTGTCCCCATTCGCCACCATGTCCACCTACGCCTCCCCCTTGCCCCTCTCCCCCAAAAAAGAAACCCTGTCCCCATTCACCGCCGTGTCCACCTTCGCCACCCCCTTGCCACACTCCAAAAAGAAAACCATGTCCACATTCACCACCACCAACTCCTCCTCCCTGTCCAACTCCAAGAAGAAAACCCTGTCCGCCTTTACCACCGAAATGTCCTCCGTCACCGCCTTCCTGTCCGTCAACACCCCCTTCTTGCCCCCCAACGCCCCCTCCCTGTCCTTCGCCACCCAAAAGAAAAACATCCCCACCTTGCCAAACGTCCCCACCCCCATGCAAAGGCAAAGTCATGCCCGGACCCAAGTCACAATGCAAGAAAGCGTCACCCTCGCCGTCATGTAGAAATGCACCGAAGAATAAAAAGAAGAAGTCACGGTCACCTTCGCCGTGCTCCCCACCACCTACACCGCCTTATCAGTACGATCCTTGTCCCCCTAGACCACCCCCTCCACCCCCTTGTCCACCTAAACCAAAACCCCCTTCCAGATGTGACACTCCTCCCTGCACCCCACCTCCACCCCCGCTGCCGCCTTGCCCACCCCCGCCCCCGCCGCCCCGGCCCCTTTGCGATGCCTGCAAAAAATGCCCGAGCCAAGAATTCCCGTGGCCGTTGAAAAATCAAGTCTCAAACCAGTCTTTAGTCTCAGGAAACATATCCTTGGTATCAACTTGCTCAGAGACTCCGTCAGTTCGTCCACCGTCACCACCTTGTCCAGAACCTAAAATTGCTTTAGTACCTCCCGTTGAGGTAGCAAAGTGTAAGAAAGGATGCTCATTCCTCCCACCAGAATGCCCCAAACCTAAACCTTGTCCACCACCTCCCTGCAAATCACCACCAAGAGTATCAGGTATATTCCTGAAAATGAAGGCTTCGAAAAAAGTCTGCTCCAAAGAATGCTCTGCTTGGGAGAGTCCTCCACAATGTCCTGAAAAGAACAATTCAGAGGACGACATTACTATCAACATCAAGCACGGGACCGCTAGCACAGAAGAAATAAGAGAAGGATACAATATCAAGGTGCAAGACGAGGACGGAAGAACTTTATACGAGAGATGCGACTACCAAAAGAAACGACCATCAATTTTGAACGATGTGTACAAATCTAACCTTCATCATCATGTCTCCACGTCTATTGTACAGAATATGGCTATGGAAGAAAAAAGCAATACAGATCTGCAAGAAGCTAAAAGTGAAACAAGTGTTGCTAATTTAATAGAAATCAACTTTAAATTAAAAGTAACTCAAGGAGATAAAACTACTGAAATTAATATCGGAAACGATAATGTTCCTGAAAAGCCTAAAATAAATACAAACGATCAGATTGGTCAAACATCACATGAAGTTTTCATGTTGAAAGACCAGGCTGAACAATGCACTGAAGAAGCTAATGACAAAAATGATATCAACATCAAGATTGTTATAAAAAATTACAAGCAAAAGAAAAAGAGTGATAAGAAATACAATACTGAAGTGGAAGAGTTTACTCAAAAGATATCGGAAAAATTCCAAACCGTGTCCACAGGTTATAGTGATCTCGCTCCTGAAGACTCGGAACAGAAAGAGAAAGTTGCACATATTGAGGAAAAAGCAGAAAACGTGTACTCTGTTCACAGAACAACTATAAATCTGAATTCTTCGAATGAGGTATCCAAAACACAAATGGCTAGCCATGAAAATGTTAGCGAAGAGTATATTGCAAGAGAACCTATAGACCTAATGGCTTCGTCACGTAGCGCTATTGGAAAATCTGGGACTGAGCATTCTGAGAGCAAAATAGAAGATGCACCAAGTAGAAAGGGCAGTCAGGGCGAAAATATAGAAAGAAACTCAAAGGACAGGCCAAGCGCACGTTACTCCATGACCGACACAGATGACCAAGAAGTTGCAGCCGATTTGGGCAATATCAGCGATTTCAATAGTGCTGAAATGCTGGCTGAATCTTTGACGAAGGAAGAGAAGAAAAAGTTACTGAAGAAGGTGTTTGAAAAGGCCAGTAAGAGCCGAAAAATGAAGAACAAAGAAAAACTAAAACAATTGAGAGAGATGCTGAAAGTCATTTTAACATCGGACAGCAGTGAACATGAAGATATGGCTGTGACCAGTAATGACTTGGTAAAAGAAATGACATACGCGTCGTTGAAGCCCAACTATTTTAGAGATACAGATAGTATGAATAATTATTACAAAATTGACAGTTCTGTTATATCGTCCGCTAAAGAAAGTCATACGAGGCCAAATCTGAACTATCCTACGGAAAATATCAGCCAGTGCAGTGTCAGAGAGAGTGAGGGTGCTTCTTCTGATGATGATAAGGCAAAGCAAGGCTGCCTCTGCAGTACTTTGGCTGCTAGGTTGAATATGTGTAAAGCGAATGACGTCAGTGGTGTCTGCTGCTGTAAGAAGCCGAATAAAATTGACGAAGAAACGTGTTGCGATCTACGAACCGAGGAAGACTTCTTCCTTCTCAACTACAAGACCATTGAATACATCGACGTTGAGACACAGAACTCTAAATTTATTTGCAGCAGTAAAAACTTTTCTGTGCACAGCCGAGCTATATCTGGGTCTATTAGAAATTGCATCGATGTCAAAACAGTGAGAGATTCTGATATTTGCAGTCAGAAAGTTAAGAAAACATTTTCGCCACATGCAAGCCATATCCGACCATGTGAGATGAAGAAATTGAACAGAAATACTATGTTGGGCTTGACAGATGAAGATAAAGTGTATCTTCTGAATGCAAAACCGACTAAATTGTCGATACGTCACAACGTGTCCAAAGTATCACAGGAGAGGAGTCACGGGAAGCATCGAAAGAAGTTTTTGGGGAAATTTGAAAGACCGGCTGATATACTTCAGTGCTACGAAACGAAGAAGGCTGTTCTTGAGATATATGCTGAGAAAACATTGTCGGACGAAGGCGAACATTTGGTTGCGAAGCTCCCTAAATTCGTTATAAATAAAGAGAGTGAACTGGAGAAGAACTATGAGGAATACGCGGAATCGTATCGGGATATGCACAGAAATTATGTCACGTCTGTTAATCGGTAGGTTTTTGATCTTTGTTTGGTTTTTATATGAATTTGTGTGGTTTTTGGATTATACAGTTTTGTTCAATCAATTCATTTGTTTGATTTATGAAATCCAAAGTTCATTGCCTATAGCAAAAACAAAATACTCAGTATTCAGTTGTTTAGTGACACTTTTTAAGGGTCTTTTTGAAAGTTATTTTAAAACTTGTAGGTATAGATTGAACAAATACCAGGAAATCGATATTGCTCACTCAGAAAACGGCAACAAAATTATTATTATCATAGGTATTGGGTTCCAACACTAATATTCATTCATTCTTTCATTCGTTCGGTCTTGTGACGTTTGTATTTGAGCGCCATCGCGCCCAGTAGCGTTTCGTACTCCGGCCATTACACTTGTGATTATGCTGTATTATCTTAAGGCTTGGTATTTCTTCTAAAGTAGGTATTTCGCGCTGTCAAAATCTGCGCGCGCAATTCTTCGCCGAAAACAGCGCGTCAAAGAGCTCCCGCCACAATTTCCAGCTACACAGTATAGAAATACGCAGTTGGTTAGGTTAGGTTGACTTCCTTCCTTTCAAGCGTCACACTCACAACACTTTCTAATAGAAATCATATCCAAGTGATACAAATTAAAACACCTTTCAGACTTTTTGGGAATANCTGTGCAGACCTGGCAATAAACTAAATTAGTGAAACACGGCTTTTCAATCATCAACAACTCCGCTGCCCTACAATAGGGGACTGTAGGATGGATCAATGTAGGTACATTTTGTTTGGAGAAAGAAAGGAACAAAAACAAATTAAATGCAACACTATTTATTTCTATTTAGAAATACATACGAAAAGTAGAAAAATACAAAATCGCAGAACACACATGGTTCTTAATTATGGAATTAAATTAAAATTAATTATATTACCAGAAAGACTAGGACTCTTGGACGGTATCAATAATAAAATTATAAAAACTTATTTCATACTCTTTCATATTCATTTTCACTTAGGATTATATTAAAATCTACAACCCGGTCCAGTTAACTGCATACCTGGCAGCCGTGACGTCACATCCACGCTTTGTACTAGCCGTACAGAAACTTTCGAGTTCGAATCGTTTGCGTATTCGAATCGCCATCAAAAGATTTAGTACGAAAACTACAACAGCGCCCTTGTGAACGTGTCGTAAAGTGAACTTAGCATGAGAAATGGTTGAACGAAACTTATTTTGAGAATCAAAATTGATATGTTATCGTTTAAGAGTAGGCGCAGACCATCGATTTTTCGTCGGCCGATAGTTTAGTCGGGCAGTTGATCAGTATGGGCATGTATGGGAGTGCGCACACTACGCCGATTCAATTTGGCCGATTCTTCATACAAATTAAAATCGGGCACAACTATCGGCCAACTAAAAATCAACGGTGTGCGCCTACTCTAATAGGTACTTATAAGAAAAATGCTTAACAATAATTATTCTTAATTACCAAGTTACATAAGAGAAAGAGTAAAGAATTTAAGAATAATAAGTTCGAAAACACTGGGTGAAACTACCTATAGCGCCATCAGTGAACACCAGAGCAAAGCTGGTGCGAGCAGTAAAATATAATTTTATCAAAATTTTACAAAGAACACCATATTTCCAATATTTTACCTAATGTAAATAATTAATAATTTTATCAAAATTGAAATAAGTTACAATCAAATATTGTAATGATCATTTCCCTAGGATTAATTAAAAGATCTAATAAATAGTGGACGGTTATCGTGATTACAGACTTTAATGCTTTGGCTTAAAGTTCCAAGTTGATTACACGGTGTCCTCTTCCCTGGCCGTTTATAATCTTGTCTGGAATATCAAAACATATCAAAGTTAAAAAAAAAACATAACAAAAAAATAGCACTACGAAAAAAATGTCTAAAAGTGATTTCCCAAAACCAAACACAAAGTGCTTTAGATACAATCACACTATAACACAAACACTTACCTTTCACCAACGATAGATATTTCACACATACAATGAAATATAGGGTGAAAAGGGCAGGTTAGCAAAAATTTTCATAGTGAACTGAGATATAGTCATTCTGTAATTTGTTAATTAAATAATTACTTTTATAAGATATACGATTAATTAAGTGTTCTCTAAAGAAATTATACTAATTTTTTTAGGCTGACCAAAATTTAAACTAAAATAACCGGTGCTTTTTGTATGGAGTTTGACAGATTTTTGACGTTTGTCAAAGTTAAAGTAAGATGGTGCAACCCACCCTTAGACTATATAAATTGATGATATTAAGTTTCTGCCAATCTTTCCCTTACACCCTGTATATATTTTTGTATTAGCACACACTATTTACCAACGTGCTTGAGCTTGTGTTTCATTATTACTATGATGTACTATACGTAGTAGTTGTGTTTAAGAACTCAAATGGTTTTTCCAGATTTTATGTTTTATCAGCAAGCGCATTTATCCAAAAATCGCAGAATTAATTTTGCCACATAACATAATTATATAATAATCTGCGAGTTAATTCGCAATTTTCAATTTATTTAATAAGTTTAATAATGAGAATTTGGTCAATTCACTGCCAGTGATCAGTGGTTTTAATTTGATCAATTGCTTGATCATTTTCTCATCAGTGGTTTTAGTGGTACTTGTAAATATTAACAGGATAGGTAGGGTATAATACGGAAATGATTACAAAATATCCAAGTACGCATTTAATTGTAATATCCCTCGCGATATACAGATAAGTACAATCATCTTAACATACAATACATACGGTACATACATATAGCACTAGCAACGATCAACAGGACACGAAACATCACTTATATACTTATATAATAGACAACAAACGAGTCCCATGTCTAGAATGTAGGCTTGTAGAAAATTTGAAGACTTTTATATAATTTTACCATGAATTTATATAATTTTACCGAACACATTCTAGGTTTGGGGTTAGATGGCACGTGCCATGTTTATTTAAACTATTATTATTAATATTTCAACCACAAATATAGCATACCTTCGCATAGACATGGGCTATATTAAAGAAATTTGTATTTTTTCAATTGCTTTTTAATTTTGTATTGTCAGTTACCTATTTTATATTGGAACAACAATTTCTTTGACGCAAAACTACAAATTTCTCTATTATAATCATTATAAATTGAATAACTTGTACAAACAGGTATTTGTTTGGGCCCTAATATAAAAAATCTTGAAGACCACGTTATAATTATACTCGAGTAAAGCACTTAACCTCTTATTCAATTTTTTTTAATAAATAATGCTGTCACTTTCTGCCACATTTAGGTTTAATTGAGATAAAAAGAGACAACAGATGTTATAAGACTGTTTTCTTTTTAAAGAATAAGGGATTAGTGCTAATCAAGTTAGAAATTATCGTAAATGCTATTCCAATATGTATAGAGTCCAAAGCTTAAATAGTTCCTTAGGGGCCGTCCATATATTACGTCATTCTAAATTAGGAGGGGGGGGCCCCCCCCCCCCTTCCGCCGCTACTGATTACATATAATACTAGCTGCCCGCCCCGGCTTCGCCCGTGGTACTTACGTGTATTATACATATAAACCTTCCTTAAGAATCACTCTATCTATTAAAAAAAAATAAAAAGTGATTCTACAAGTGTTTTAATTTTGTCAAACTGGTAATGACGTCAATTTTGGGAGAAGGGGGGGGGGGTCATTAAGAAATGACGCTAGGATGATTGTAGGGGGGGGGGGGGTCTAAAATCTGAAAAAATCGATGACGTAATTTATGGACGGCCCCTTATACAATAGTATATAATACTTTAAAATAATAGCACAAAGAGAAAAAAATAAATTAGAATAAAAGTTAAATTGCATTGATTAAATTGACCTACTTAAAGACTAATTGTGACAAATTGAAGAAGTTAAAATAAGTTTTTGTTAAATAAAAGAAAAAAATCAGATCTATAGTTATTCAGATTGATAATTCAGTCAGTTCATTATAACAAATTTTATCAAAGTTGAATGTTGATAAACTGAAAATTATTTCAGTGATCAAAGATATGTGAAAAAGTGGATACATTATTAAGTTTTGCATGCCTCATTGTTAAAAACAAACACAAAATAAAAAAAATACTGATTGATCTCAAATAATTTAAAATAAAAAATAATACCACCGATTTCTTCGCACACAAAATAAATACAACTTGACTCATAAAAAAAATATTATCTAAATATAATGGCAGTGTAATAATTTTATATCATTCAAACATCAATTGAAATTGGCTAAAAATAAATGATCAAATAAAATAAATGGAAATTTATATAATATCCTTAAAATAATAGTGAACACTTAGTACCTGACAAAAATCTTATTTAAACCCAACATACGGCCACAACATTCCTTGTATATTATTTAATTTGTGAAACATCATTTTGATGATTTGATAGAAATTCTTATAATATTCCCATATCCTTATCGGATTGATGATTTGATAGAAATTCTTATAATATTGTTTGATTTTAATAAGTAAAAGAATATTATTCTATGTATAAAGTAATATACGCGTCATCTAAATAACTGTGACGTATGTGGTTTAGACAAATAATCAATGATGACGTCATTTAGCGAATGCGTCATATTAATATACAGATTATATAACACTCGTCTAACTTTTATATTCTCAGAAATATAACTGTAGTTAGGTATAATTTATTGCTCAAATGTTCACTTAAACATGCGATCATTTAATATTTGAAGCACACTATTTATATTTCATACTGCTCCATTTTGTATATTTTATTACATCAAATAACACGACTATTTTGGCTGTTTAAATGGAATAGTTACGTAGAAAAAGTTGTTATTGTCGGCTATTTAATTTGAGGCACCGATAATAGTGAACAACATGTTTTATCAACCTTAATGCCTTTTAACATATTTTAGTATAGCAATTATGAGCGCGTTTGGTAAAGGAAATAGTTCGTTAAACAAAAAGGTGTACAGTCCAATGAGGCCTGCCTGACGTATATGAGCTGACC